TAATAGTTATAGTCAAAAATGATTAATAATGATAATACTGTATACATATATATTGATAATATGAGATTTTATATAATTTGTAAGTGAGGACTATAGAGAGGATGCATAAAGGTTTGGTGACCAAAGATAAACAATTTTATAAAATATGGAATTTATCTTATCAATGGTTAAACAAAGAATTTTATAAAGATGTACTATTACTGGATGGATTTAGCATGATGTAATGAAATGTCATAATATAAATTTACCTAAAATGTAGAATATCTCACATAAAATGTAATAATGACAATTATAGTCAAATAAATGTATAATAATTGTTTACATATATATCAGATTGATAATACGAGATTTTATATAAAGTGTAAGTGAAGTCTATGGTGAGAATGTACAAAACGTTTTGTAACCAATCAACACACTGTACGGAACTGGAAGATGTTTTTATGTTTTATGTGTGTCTGTACTTGTTTGTTTAAAAATAAAATAAAAAATGTATACAAAAAAAAGTATGGCCACCAAGTCCCCCTCCAAGCCTGGTGCAGAGCCATGAAGAAGAGGTTCGTCTCTTCTTTTGGGGTCCACTTACCGGCCACAGCATGAGGGTCTGAGTAAAACTCATCCAGGTGCGAGGAGGAGCAGTCCAGCGCTGCCTTCAGCTTCTTTAACTTGGAGGCTCCAGCAGCAATGCGGAATAAGCCCTGGGGAGGACAGGAAACACACTCTTCCCTTAGCCAGACTCCCTCTGGGATCCACCCTGCTTAACTCCCCATTTCATGAAAAAAGATCTCCTCTTCAAGATGCTGATGGTGCGAGACATCAGGGAAGTAACAAGAGTCAGTTTGGCTGAGCTCATGCACCACTTGGGGACATATTGAGCTGTGGCCACCGAGGTCCTGATGGAATGTGATGCCCTTTCTTTGAGCAAATCAGACACAGGCGGATCAGCTGGGAGAGAGTTCTGTCTTTTTTAGGCCATTACGGCAAAAGACGGCTTGAAAACTCATCTCAGCCAAGTGACTCTTCCCTATTTCTTCTTGGAATATTCTGTGAACAGAACTTGTGCTTCAAAACAGGAACATGTTTTCCCCCCAGAGCAAATGGATGGCCACAAAGCTGACAGCTTTTCACAAGTGAAGTCTAACTCATTTTTGACATCCTGCATGTACCTTCTTGTTGTGGTTTCCCCTAAAATCCTGATTGGCCAACAGTTCCCAAACTTTCTAAAATCTGAGACAGAACCTGGGCTCCTTCTCACAACACTGCTGCAAGAAGGAAGCCCTCGCGCCGTGGCTCGGGGGTGGGAGTGGGGAGGCATCCATTCTTGCAAGTCCTGGGGACAAGGCTGAAAGACACCTGACATAGGTAGGGACCAAGTTCCTAAATACCAAACCATGATGTTGAACCTGCAGCTTTCTGCTCCAATATCCATTTTTGAGAAGGCAAATGGATGAACCCGAAGGAAAAACAAATTGGCCTAGATATGAAGTCCAAGACAAAAGGGAAGTCTGAAAGTCACACTGCTGCTTCTAGAAAACATAGCAAGAGAGCAATTATGGAAGAAATGGAAGTCAATCCTTGCTACCCCCTCTTGTACATGGGCTTTTATTAGCCCCTCAAGCCCTCCAGGGGGCTCCACTTCAGCTTTTTCTTCCTTTGGGGGTGGGGAAGAGGTCAGACACCTGGATGATGGAAGGATAATTGCACGATACTCCCTCCCAGTCAGGGAGCCTGGGGTATGCAGGTGCCCTAAGAGCAGTCTGGGCCAACAGTTTCCTACCAGAAGTGCAGTGAAGAAAGCAAGCTAAAATGACTCAAACAAATGAAAAGATTCAGGCTGCTTCCAAATGACTTGGCCAGCACCAGCAAGACAAAACAGCCAAGTTAGCCTCAAGTGTCTGCAAAACCTCCATCAAACCTTCTTCAAGGGATTTCAGGAAATTTGGCAGCCAACATGCCAAACTGGCCATCTCAGACGAGCAGAAGGCAAATGCCTTACGGAGGCAGCCGAATCTGGGAGCCCCCTGGCCACGGAGAAAGTGCCACTTTGGTCTAGGTGGTGAAGGCACCAAGATAAAAAGCAGGAGATCGTGAATTCAAGTCCCATCGAAAGCCAGCTGGGTGACCTTAGGCCAGTCCCACTCTCTTAGCCCAAACCATCTCAAAGGGTTGTTGTTGTTGTAGGGGAAAAAAGGAGGAGAAAAGTGTGTTGGATGTGTTTGCTACCTTGAGTTATTTGTAAAATAATAAAGGTGGGATGAAATAAATGGGGCTTGGCCCGTCCTGTATGTGCAAGTTCAACCTGCCCCACACAGGAAAAGAGAAGAGTGTGGCGCCCTCACCCACCTCCTCCTTCATGCCTGTTTCCAAGAGCATCATCACACAGGCCTCGATGGGGACGGCAATTTCTCGGCCACTACGCTTGAGGTGCTCCTCCAGGGGAGTCCCGAAAGCTGGTTTTTCAGTCCATTTGTCTAGTTAGAGAAGCAGAATTAAAAGTCAGCCACACAACTGGGAAACCACCATCCAGAGGGTAGGGGTGGGGGAGAGATCTACAGTACGGTCATTAGGCATCACACAAGAAGATCTGAACCATTTGATGGCAGAGCCCTTTAAGTTCTGTCCCCGGGAAGAACCAGAATCCAAGTCTGCATCCTGGGAGTGATGGACCCAGAAGTGCACAGGCTGAGGTGGCTGGATTGGCCGGGGCTCTCAGCACACAAAGAGGTGACCCCTAGGCAGGGCTGGGCTTCTCCAACAGAACTACTTAGGTGAGGTCCAGAATGCTGCTACAACCACCATGCTTAGGGAGAAAAAGCGAATGGTAGGTAATCAACCCATGGAGATTTTTTGCAGTTCTTCAGAAACGTTCATTCACACCCACGTAACAAGGTTGCTAGAAAACATGTGATTTGGAAGCAGGAACTAAAACAAGATAGTGATGTTGGCTGCAACAATGCTTGAGGCATACTCTCAATTATCAGGTAATTTAATTAAGCAGTAAACCGTCCCCAGTTTTTCTTGCTAGGGTTCCCAGTCCTTGAGGTCTTTATGGCAAGGGATGCCAAAAGCAGGTGGGGTTGCCACAGGGATGAGAGCAGGTAGCTAAGGCAGGAAGATCCACGCCTTGTTGAATAAGGTGGCCAGGGGTGAGCTGTTCTCGAAGGGAAAGGTGATTTCTCGGTGATCAGAGGTTCCTCCCAGGAAAACAGATGGTGACAATTCTGTCCAATCAGGAATAGCAATAGCAATAGCACTTAGACTTACATACCACTCCATGGTGCTTTACAGCACTCTCTGAGCAGTTTACAGTGTCAGCATGTTGCCCCCAATAATCTGCATCCTCATGTTACCAACCTTGGAAGGATGGAAGGCTGAGTCAACGTGGAGATGGTTAGGATTGAACTCCTGGCAGTGGGCAGAGTCTGCCTTCAATACTGCATTCTAACCACTGAGCCACCAGGGCTCCTAGAAAGCTATTCAACAGCTTTTTCCATTGTAGTATTGTAATCCAACTGTTGGCAATCTAGCCACCCCCAATTATGGATGACCTCAAATTGGCTCATCCCCAGGATGCAATTAAAAAAAATCTGTTTTTAATTCCATAGGTTATCCTGAGCTTCATGCTGATTGGGCAGCTATATACAGAGTGCGTACATAAATAAATAAATATCCTTTCTCAATTAAACAATCTGGAGAGTCACGTGAGTTTTGCCAAATGGCCCACACAAATAATTTAAAATCTCTCCAGTCTGCTAAGTACATTTAAGACCATTTCAATTCTCTTCTCTTCCAAATCAAAAGATGAAGACAGAGGCGCCTGAACAGATTGTTAGTTATTCAGGAAGAACTTAGAAAGGAAAAGTCTGAAAGCTCTCCGAGACATGTGATGCTTCCCCAAAGCTGTTTTGTCTTCAACCCTCTGCGGACAAAAATGGTGAATACTTGATGGCCCGCTCCGAAGCAGAGTTGGAAAGTGTCAGAGAGGCCCTCTGGCTCTGTGCAGCACTGAATTAAACCTCTCCGATAGGCTGGGATGGAACAGATTGGATGACTTGAGAGAAACTAGGCCCTGAAATAGTGCTTTCTGTTTGTATCACAACCTTCAGCCTTGGTGCCCCGCAAGGCCCAAAAAATGGTGCTCTTCTAATGTTGCTGAACTACAAAGGCCAGCAGCCTCAACTGTAAGTCAGAGGGTGAGAGTTGTTGCTTGGCAGTGTCAAAAGGATCACAAAGTCCATCCCTGGAAGTCAGGACCTGCCACTATCTAGGGTAACTTCCCTCCCTCATTACGCTGCTTCACATAATGAATTTATGAAACCTACGGCCTTCACCTGTGGCTTCTAAAGGAATGTTTTGTTTTTTAAGGTTTAGAATATTAGCAGAACACATGTCGTTTCAGGACTAATTTACCTTGAGAAACTAAATGGACCCAGCTATCCTTAAAAACTATTGTCCAGTCTCCAACCTCCCTTTTTTGGGGAAGGTTGTTGAGAAGGTGGTGGCCCTTCAACTCCGCCGGACCTTGGATGAAGCAGATTATCTAGACTCCTTTCAGTCTGGTTTCAGGCCTGAATACTGCACCGAAACCGCCTTGGTCGTGCTGATCAATAATCTCTGGCGGGCATTCCTCTATCCTGGTGCTCCTTGACCTCTCAGTGGCCTTTGATATCATCGACCATGGTATCCTTCTGCGACGGCTGGAAAGGTGGGAGTGGGAGGCACTGTTTTACGGTGGTTCTCCTCTTACCTCTCCGGCAGGTCGCAGTCAGTGTTGGTTGGAGGGCAAAGGTTGACCCCTAGGCCCCTTAAATATGGGGTGCCGCAGGGGTCGGACTTGTCCCCCCTCCTATTTAATATCTACATGAAGCCACTGGGTGAGATCATTCGCCGGCACGGGATTAAATACCATCAATACGCGGATGATACACAATTGTATCTCTCCG